GGTTGCAAGCCTCCTTTCATAACCTTTTTGCTCAGACAAAAAAATGCAAGGAGTTTTGTAGCATACTAAAGAGTGTCTGGCTTTTTCTGGCATCAGCTTTCGGAGGCCACGACCCATGTCTCCTGAAGCAAGCCGATCCAGGCGAGCCGTGGTCCATGAAAATGGATGCCCAGTTGAACTCGTTGGCCTTGAAAGTGCCACAAAAGTGTGTGGTGGGACTGGAGACTAGTAGGGGCTCTGGTTTTACAGGATCAGTCCACCACCACCCCTGGGTTGAGCACAAACGTGAAAGGCTCTGAACATATACTGTATCTTGCAGCTGGACTTCAGCACTCTGGACAGCTCCTTTAAAGTCTGGGATAATAATAATAAGAAGAACCTTAGAACTACAGAGCTGGAAGGGACCCTCTGGATCATCAAGTCCAGCCCCTCTCAGGGAGGAATCAAACTCCCAACCTCTGGCAGAAGTCTAAGCCACTGAGCTTCCCAGCAGATGAAAACCCCAGAAATTGTTTCACCAGAAAGCAGAGTTGCCAGCCTTGAGGGCAGGTGGGGAGGAATCAAACTCCCAACCTTTGGTGCCACAGCCAGAGGTCTAAGCCACTGAGCTTTCCAGCAGATGAAAAACCCAGAAATTGTTTCACCATAAAGCAGAGTTGCCAGCCTTGAGGGCAGGTTGGTTTTCCTGCAATAAACCACAAGCATGGCCTTTGTGCAAGGTAGTTGCTCTTTTGAGATCCCAACGCTGGAGCTAGCAAGGGTTGGCCCCCTTGTCAGCTTGAAGGCATTGGTAGTTAGAAGTGTGCATTCATCACGACAGCGGCTGTCGTCTGGGGATACGTTCACCCCAGAAGCAGTTTAGGTGGGGCCAACAAGACCCTAAGAATTTCTTAATGTTCCCTCTCTGTCAGTCCCTACATCCTCCTGCCAAAGTGATGGGACATTTCTTACCTGCCATGAATTATCTATCTTCAGCATGCTGACACCTTTGGACACTTTCTCCTAAATGCTTCTTCCCCCTTGCCCGCTAATTTCCCGCAAATACCAGAATGTCCTTAAACCTAAGAATGGGCTCCTTTGGAGAAGTGGTTTTTCATTTCCATCGTAGCAGGATCCAAGCATGGTGGTGAAGGAACTGGTGAGATGTGGATGTATGAGAGTTTGAGAACTGGTCCTTTAGGGCAGAAAACCAGACTTTGGAAACCTTACCTCTAGGCAGTGCTCATATATAACACACACACACACACACACATTTGAGAACTGGTCCTTTAGAGCAGAAATCCAGACTTTGGAAACCTTACCTCCAGGCAGTGCTCATATATAACACATACACATATATACAATTATTTAATGCATTATTAAAGCCATTTTCAATCTGACTCAGACAGCTTTTTATGTTCCTTTACCACCAGGAACATGTGTTCTTGTCAGACTTCTGAAAGTAAGCAGGGTTTTGCTTGCTCAATATTGGGATGGGAGACCCCCTGGGAAGACCAGGCACCTCCAGGTTGCTAGGAGGGAGTGGATGATGCTCTGAAGGGCCAGACTGAACTCCAGCACTCCAACAGGGTTTTCTGGAAGCATCCAGCTGTCCACCACAGGGAACAGAAGGCTGGTCTCATCTTGTACTGATCTAGAAAGCACTTATCCATGAGGGGTTCTTCCCAACCAACTTACAGATCTGAACAAATATCTATCGCCAGCAGTCTGTATGGGAAGCCATAACAGCGACGTTGATATAAATCCGGGATGCTTGTAGCGCAGATACACCTTAAAACACTTTAACCACTTTTGGAAATTTATATGATTTCCAGTGTACAACGGGTGGTTAAGAGGTGGATTTATGCCACACTTTCTTCACTCGAGAAGCAGCGATTCAGACAGTATAAATCACAAGATCTGACGATGGATGGAGGAAGCCTCACTAGCTGGGCTGTACGTATTAATCCAGGACACACACGTGTGGTCTTGCTGTTGCGTGTGTTGCCACAAATGTTGTTGTTATGTGTTACTTACGGGGGCCCTTAGGGGCTGAGATATAGTACAACACTACTTTTAATAAGGAAAAAGTAAATACATAAATGGAGGTCCGAGAGAACAGTTAACAAGAGGGACAACGAAGATTTGTAAAAGAAATTTTGAAGAACAGAGAAAACATCCTTTTTTTTAAAAAAAGCCCAACTTTTGTAAAGTACTAAAAGCACATTACAGAAACAGAGAGTTGGGGAGGGAGAAATTTGGTCACAAGCTTTGTTTCTCCTTTTTCCCTGATGCATCACTTTTATACAGAATTGACCAAAAAGACAAACTATGGTAATTGTACAGACAAATCCCATTAAGGGACAGCCCATATTCGTGATCTATCATTGACTGTATAAGCAATTGATGCACTATTAATATTAGGATCACTGTAGTTTTTTAACAAAAACTAAGGGGGTTCTAGATGACCTGTTTGGGCATAGCCCTCAAATATAACCAGACAACAAATATGTAAACAGACCCCAGCCCGGGGTTGTGACAAGCACTCCCAAACTTTCTTGTCCTCCACAATTTTCTGCGTCTTGCCCATGCCAAGACTCCACCTGAGACTTTTCTTTGCACCAATAGTTTCCTGTGAAAATGGGACCCCATTTTTGGTTTGCTTTTTTGCATCCTGTGCTAAGCAGGGAACTGACAAATTCAGCTCATCACCCTTTTCGGCGAATCCCGTGCAGGAAGAGCACTCTCCTGTGCAGGAACTGTAACAATCCTGTTCATTTTGGTGCTTCTTCCAGGACAAACGGCCCATGGGTTTTAGGAACGCCTATGAGATTTCCTGCGATAATTCTTGAGTGGGGGGGGGGAACATCTCATACAACCAGAAATCTCAGTGGGAGGGGGAAAGAGTGAATTATGTGTGGGTTTTGCCCTCCCTCAGTTTCTCTCTGGAGTGAAAGCCTGAGAAATTCACACCTCCAGCAACAGAAACCTGCAAATCTCGGGCGTGCAATCATCATCACAGCAGCACGCTAAATCTCAGTCCAGTTGGCCCATTTCCCAACCTAAAGGATTTCCATTGCTTTGTGTTGAAGCTTCAGCTCTGCTGCCCTTGTATATTTGAATCAAAAAGCCTCCCAAGTCTGTCTGAAGATCCTTGCTGTCTCTCTGGGATTTGTATATGGGATCAAAGGGAGAAAGGAGTGTTATCTACAAATGGAGTAGACGCTTCTGCCCAAACCTTCAAGTGATTTCCTCCAGTCAGAAATGTCTAAGCTAATACAGATTCTTTACTCTGCTCTTGTGATCATCCATTGTCTGGAATAATTTACATACTATTGCAACTGATTACAAAGAAAAGCTAAGAAGAAAAAGTTCATCAGCTACTGTAAATAGCCCGTCTAATTAACATTCATGGTACTCTACCATTGTTAATTTATGACAAAGTTTCTCACATTTTTACAGCGCAATCTTCTATGAAAGACCTGCATATCAAAGATGCACTCTACTGGCCAGTTCTGGTAATTACATCATGGAAATACATATTTCTGAGTTTTTTCCATTTAATGGTTTCAGACCATGGATAAGCAAAACAGTGGATTCTGATCTCACAGATATGGGGGGTCCTGTGGCATTCCTATTCTGTACATGCACCTCTGTGCATATATATGTACTGTATATGGAAACATATATTTGTATATGTACATATATGCCTTTTATACATGTAGCCATTTATGAATGCACATATACATACATATTTATGTGCTGACCTTCAAAATATCTACGGTTTTAGATTCCTGATCAAGAAGCCTGCAGGAGAGGCCCTTCTCATAGTATGGCCCTTAGGTTATGAAACGCAATCTCCTCTAAGTGGAGACCGGTTTATACACTGACTGCTTCTAAAAACAGAATAAAAACACATTTTAAAAAATCTGTGCCCTTTATAACTGTTGCTTTCAAATGTATTTTGCTCAGTTTTTCTAAGGTTTATGGTGGGGGCAGGTTTATAGGATTTCATGAAAGCTTTCACTGAATGTTGGCTTTACCTGTTCTTATTTCTTTTAAAAACTTTCCAAGCTGCCTTTACCTCCTATTTTTTAATGCGAGTGTGGGATGCAAATCTAATAATCCAGCAGAATTCTACCAGAGCTGTCGAGGAAGGCAGAAGCTGAAATGCCGGGCTACAATTCCTCTGTTTCTCAGCCATTCTTATAATTCTACATTTTTCCCCAAAAATAAGACCGGGTCTTAAATTAATTTTTGCTTCAAAAGAGCAGTGGGGCTTATTTTTCAGGGGATGTTTTATTTTTTTCATGGACAACAATTGACATTTATTCAAATACAGTTATGTCATCTTCTGGTTGCTGCACAAGGGCGGAGGGCAGGGTTTCACTTCACTGGGGCTTATTTTTGGGGTAGGGCTTATATTTTGAGCATCCTGAAAAATCATACTAGGGCTTATTTTCAGGTTAGGTCTTATTTTCGGAGAAACAGGGTATGCACAAATATTGTCATGTCCATATTTAGGGCCCTCTCACCTCAGGGAAGGCATAGTGGGGACGCAGCAGCAGGACTATCTCACACCTTGAGTGCCTTGTGCGGCTGCTGTTGCTATTATTATTAATTTGTTTCCTTAAAGAACACCATTCAGTAGTTGTTTAGTCGTTTAGTCTGAGTCTTTGTGACCCCATGGACTACTCCAAGCTGCTCATGAGGCCTCGCATCAACGCCCCCTCCCCTTGTAAATGCCAAGGCAACAGGGCGATAGGCACTGCGCATGCGCACTTCCCAACCAGCCCTCTAATTCCTTCTTAAGGGTCTTTTCAATACATCGCGTCCGGGAGGCAGTGGCACCTTCCGCGCACGCGTATCAGCCTCCCCGGCGAGCTCCGCCGGATCGCGTGTGCGCACGCGCCGCATTCTTCCCCTCCCTTCTTGCCGGGCTCCGGGACCCGCATCGCCTCCTTTCTTTCTCTTGAGTCGACTCCTGCGCCTTGCCGGCAGAGGGCGCTGCAGCAAACCTCCGCGCTTCCTAGAGCGGCCGCGACGACTGCGAGGGAGCCATGTGGGCTAGCGCATGCGCGCGCCAAGGTGAGGGGTCGGCAAGATGGCGGCGGCCTCCTCAGGGGATGAGGCGCCGGACAACGAGGACTACTACTCGCTGCTGAACGTGCGGCGGGAGGTGAGGCCCGGCGGTCGGGCGGAGGGAGGGAGCTCTCCCTCGAAGGCCGCCCGGGAGAACAGGCCGGCTCTGAGGGAGGCGAGGGCGAAGGAAGGAGGGAAGGAAGGGCGGACCTCGCCAGGCGCTGAGGGGGTGGGGTGGGGGAGGGGAGAAGGGCCCAGTTAGAGCAACTGAGGTCTAGATCATATGTCCTATACATGAAAAACTCCTGTCTAGATCCCTAGCTCCCAGATCCTATCATATGTATAATAAAGTATCTAGATCTATAATTCCTATATGGGTCACACACTCACGTGTGTGTGTGTATGAGTTTATATATGCATTTCTTCACTTTCCTTTTTCCACATGTATATACATAGTGTGTGTGTAAAACTATGTCTGCTTATTGTGTATAGGTAGAAATATGTACCAACATGAATTTGAACCAACTCCGGGAGGCAGTGGAGGACAGGAGAACCTGGCGTGCTCTGGTTTATGGGGTCACGAAGAGTCAGACACGACTAAACAACAAAGACATATGTATATGTGTAAATGTGTGTACAGATGTCATAGCCTAAATCCAAAGGCTAGTCTGCAAGAGTAGATCTGTTAAGTCAGTAGCGTTTGCACAAGTGTAAGTGTGAGTCCTTGGGCACCTTGAAGACAGATGGGTTTCTCTTGACAGACGCTTTTCTGGGCTACAGAGCCTCCTTCCTCAGATGCCTTCAGTAGATGCGAGTGGGCCCAATAAGTTGTGAAGGCCCAATAAGCCTGTTTTTAAGATTCCACACAAAGCTTTCAGTGGTTTTTGCCACAACAGGTTCATACGGCTGAATGCAGGCATATTCAGCTTTCCGTTCTATTGGTGTGCTCAAGGTGGGACAAGTAATTGGGTGTAGAGCATAGTAATAAGCACCCTCCTGATGAACTCTGTGAGATCATAAAACACATAAAAAGCTGTGAGTTGGAATACTGGAGTAGCTGTGCCTGTTTATTTATGCAAAAAGCTGGGGGGAGAACACTGGAAATAAGTTTTGAGACTACACAGTGTAGGGTGCAGGGCATTATTTGTTCAGCTGTAGCACATAAAATTGTAGGCTTTAATAAAGACTGCTGTTAAAAACAGTAACCTCTGATTAATCATAGGATGTTAAGTTTTTCTTGGTTGGGGAGGGTGACTAATGAAGAAGCACTAAAGTGAAAGAATAAAGGCCAAGAAATCATAAAACATGTGGAAAGCCAGTACTACTTAAGTCATGCGGGGGGGGGGGGGGAGAACTGGCAAGTTATTATAGCTAATCATTTAGAGTAAAAGATATGGCAGAAGAGGTTCAGGAAGCAGTATAACCAGGGAGGCTGGTTTGGATGTAGTGCAGCATAATTATCTAGAGCTGCTGCATGCAAAATCAGGATAGGTAGTATGATGTCCAGCCTTCAGCAGGAAGGGAATGAGAAAGAAAATACATGCATATTGCGTGTGTTGCATCTTGCCTAGACATTGAGCATTTATATTTATGACCTGGTTCTCAGCCAAGAATTGTTTCCAGGCCAGCTTTACAGAACTGAAGGGAGAGAGAGAGAGAAATCAATCCATCAGTCTGGTATCTTTACAAGTCGTCTTGGTCCTGTTGGTTTTTTTTTGGGGGGGGGATGACAGTTATATAACTGATGCTCTATCCTTAGCCCACTCAGCAGAAGAAAAGTGAAGGGGGTACATTAAATAGGAAAGAGGCATTCCAGGAAGCAGCCAAAGAAAAAAAGGAGGTAGAGGTTATAGAAAGGAAAATAGAGCACACAGGAAGAAGGGAGGAAGGAGGGGGGGTGTGTGTTCTTGCAGAAGAGTCCAGATAGCACTTTGGAGTCACTACTCCCATTTGGAAGTCAGGCGCCTTGACACAAGGATTAGGATGAAATCTTGTTAAATATCTGGAAATGTCATATGCTGGCAGCTAATTGTAAATGATTTTTCTCTTTTATCATGGAGACCCAGCACCTCCCTAAGCTGGGAAATGATAAAATGTAGGATTCCCAAATGTATCAGCTTATCTGTCCAGTCAACAACGTTTGTGACAAGGATGGGGGCACATATGCTGTTAAACTGCTTGCATCATCCTCCTTCATTGGCTCAGTGGTGAGGCTGCTAAGAGTTGCAGCTCATCATGAAATGGAGTGTCAGGCATTTTGCATTCCCAATTTATGGGCTCCTCCTATTCTTGGGGTTCTATTGATAAGCATCCCAGAATGGAAAGCCTGGTTTTTATAAATTCGTTATTCATAAAATATGGTCTGCCCCTTCACCCCTGACTTCAAATGGGTACTCCCAGTGTTGGTCAGTACAGGTTTAGGATTTGTCTGCTAGAGGATATGTGGATGCAGTGAAAATGGAGCCAAAGTTTCAACTGAGAGATAATTGTGGGGAGAAAGAAACCACATGGCCACTAGTCCCAGTTGAGCTAACAGAGCAAGCTTTGCGCTCTCTCACCTAGTTGGAATGGCTGCTCGTGAGAATGGCATGGTGTAGAAAGAAATGAAAGCTGTGGAGTCATAGCTGAGTAGATGGATTTACTTATTTCTTTCCTCTTTTTCTTTGCACACATCTGAACAGAGTATCTCTGATATTCAAATATGGGCCAGTTCTGGGTGAAGGACCCATTTCATGTACAGTATCTACTTTCTATGGCCAACTTAAATGTTGTCTTCATTTGCAGATTTTCTTTCTTTAGACCACTGGTCTAACCTTTTATGAGTCGTATGCTCCTTTCATAATAGCCAAGTAATCTGCAACCCCCACGCTACGTTCCCATAAAAAAAGTAATTTTCTCAGAAAGTTGAGGCTTCTTTCCCCCCCAAAGGGACTGTTTTTCATACAGGCACATATATGCTGACTTTAACATCCCACTTCAAAAGGTCAAGGAAGAAATTATTTAACCAAGGCTACAACACATATAAGGAGACCCACAAAACACCACCACCACCCAGAAAAATACTTTGCAGCCCTCTTGGAGGTTCTGATCTCCAGGTTGGGAAACACTGCTTAGACCTTGAAGATGAAACCGAAAAACATAGTGGAGTGCATGCGTGAGTGTATAGGATTCCAATTTCATTCCCCTGCAATACAGTTAATTAAAAATAATGAGCGGGGGTCAGACAACTCTTTTTCATGGGAAAGTGTGGACAAATGTCCAGTGGAACAAGGGGTTGTAGTTGTGGAGATCTCCCTCATTGTAACTTTGAACTATACCCATATAGGATTTGCTAATTTTATAAAGATAGCCAGTACTGTATAATGTCCCCAAGGAATTGTGGGAAGCGGTTTAGACATTAATAGCTGTGTGCTGCGTTATTTTGAGGGGACAGCACATTTGCACTGTTACACAAGCTGTATACTCACAGCTTTACATTGTAGCCAAGTGTCATTTCTTCAGTGTTGTCACATGAAACGATATACTAAAATATTTATGAAACGTGAGGGGGTGTACTCACTTCTGTGATATACTGTATCTCTTTGGTTCTGTAGACTGTCTTTAGTGCTGTCTCTACCAGCCAGTATTGAATAAAACACTTTCTTAAATCTGCCGTACGCCTCCTTATAAATTCGTAAGGGAAAAGTTCTCCACATCATCTGTGTGGTTCTGGGATCTGGGTTGGTCCTTCTGCAGATGTTCCTAAGTGCTGAAGTCCTCATCAGATGAGCACAAGAAGTTTGCTGCCCTGTGTTTTTAAAAGTGTGTTTGAACATTTGTAAACAAGCAAACCCCACAGTGACGTTTCTGCTGATTCAGCACTAGCAGCAAAATTGCAGATAAGGGAAGTACTGGACTAAGGAATAGTGATGCTGTAGTTTCCATCACGGTCATGGTAAAGATGCACTAGAAGGTTGTTTTCCCAACTCCGACTTAATGGTTCTCCTTGATGGTGTTGATACGCTACAGTGCTTGGTTGTGTGCCTGGAAGGAGAAGACATCTGTTGCTACTATGCCATTTTCAGTAATCGGTTTTGGATACTTGCCTACATTGATATTGAACTATTTCTCAGCAGAGATGCAAGCGTCCCTTGTGTTGCAACTCTTCTTAGTCTCCAAAATGCAGGGGGGGGGGTTGCCATTGAGTGATCACGGATAGGATTGTCCTAGAGGAATCCTGTTCAAGTAATTACATATGGGGAAAAATGGCTTCGAAGCAGAATACAGGCTTTGTTTTTGAATGAGAGATATGTGTGTTGTGTGAGGCATCATGTTAAGAAGAAAAGCTCATTCTCTCCTTTGCTTAGAAATAGAGAAGATGCCTTTTGAGGCAGGCCCTGCTGCTTTCAGTTTTTGAAAGTGTTTGTAATAAATATATGCATGTGTTCTGTGCCATCGAGTCAGACCAACTTACAGCGACCCTGTTAGGATTTTCAAACTAAGTGAGGTAGTTGAGTGGTTTTAGCAGTGCCACCCCTGCCCCCATGAATTTCCATGCACAAGTGGGGATTTGAACTCGGGTCTCATGAGTCATCAGTCTATCTGTCTACTGCACCACATTGGGTTGTTGTTGTTTAGTCGTTCAGTCGTGTCCGACTCTTCGTAACTCCATGGACAAGAGCACGCCATGCTCTTCTGTCTTCCACTGCCTCCTGGAGTTGGGTCAAATTCATATTGGTCGCTTCGATGACCCGGTCCAACCACCTCATCCTCTGTCGTCCCCTTCTCCTCCTGCCTTCACGCTTTCCCAACATCAGGGTCTTCTCCAGGGAGTCTTCTCTTCTCATGAGATGGCCAAAGTATTGGAGCCTCAGCTTCAGGATCTGTCCTTCGAGTGAGCACTCAGGGTGGATTTCCTTCAAAATGGATAGGTTTGTTCTCCTTGCAGTCCAGGGGACTCTCGGGAGTCTCCTCCAGCACCACAATTCAAAAGCATCCATTCTTCGGCAGTCAGCCTTCTTTAGGGTCCAGCTCTCACTTCCATACATCTCGTATACTAAATAAAAAAACTTCCTTTTTTGGAGAAAATGTCATTAATTGTTGAAAGCTTTTTCTCCG